CCCCATAAGACTTGTGCTCCAGACCCCTCACCAGCTTCGTTGCCCTTCTCTGGACACGCTCCAGCACCTCAATGTCCTTCTTGTAGTGAGGGGCCCAACACTGGAAACAGGATTCAAGGTGCGGCCTCACCGGTGCCGAGTACAGGGGCACAATCACTTCCCTACTCCTGCTGGCCACACTATTCCTGATACAGAAATAATAGAGAATACTGTAATCAGAATATTCTGATACAGAATAATACAGTAATACCTGTCTGGGAACCACCCCAGGGCATTTTTAAGGAGAACGACTGTCCACCCATAAAATAGCTACAGGAGACAAACTGAAAAAGTACACTTAACATTTTGAGGTTTTGGATATACTCACTGTGGACACACCGTCTGCCAAGAGAAGGCTTTCGCAGCAGAGCCATGCAACCTCAGCTGCTCCAGGGAGAAGGGTGGCTTTCAGAGAGGAAACTCGTCTGGAGGAGGAGAAATTACTGAAATCACAGGATCATGAAGTTTTGGGCAGGGAGGGTGCTTAGGAGGTCATATGCTCTCTTTCCTGCATCGGGGGCCCACCAGGACTTTATTTTCACATTGACCATGGAAATATTTGAAGATTTTCAGATGTTCTGGAATAGCAATCATCTGACGGGATATGTAAACATGCAACTGCAGAGCAGTCAGGAGTGAACGACATATAGAGACTGATGAAGACTGTAAGACATACCTAAATACCTGGACACCTTCATTTCTTACCTGCCTGCATTATCTACTGATCTACTTTCAAGGTACCCATTTGCACAGTATCTATGCACAAGAAACAACTGAAGGTGGGGAAGTGCTGCATAAAAAGCAAGTAGATGCATAAAAATTCTGAAGTATTTAGGACAGCCTAATATTTTTTTTAAAGTAATGTAGTCAATTGTACACGAGTTTTAAAGTTTTAGATACAATCTCGCTTCAATAATAGCAATTCACATGAATTAAACATAATGCTTTTGTGGTAAAAACTTCAAAAACTTTTGACAATCTGTCACCATCACATTTAACTGTACAGTCCCTGTGACCAACAGCCTCTTTTTTTACCATTTATTCTTTATATACTCCCTTATATTTATGGGTTGCTTTTATAAAATGAACTGTTATAAAGAACAGAATAAGTTACGTTTCCTCCAGAAAGCCTTGTCAGACGACCTGCTTGCAGATGAGGCAATACCTCGTCCAAAGACCAGGAATAGTGAATTTTGCCTCCTAAAAGCATCCCTGTAGTCCCGATTCATGACCACGTGGTGCAAACCTTACTCAGCCCCACCACTACAGGCAGAGTCCCATGGGCTCGGACGATTCACTGGGCTGAATGCAAACACCTGATGCAGGCAGGGGTGACCCATTTTTTAACACAGTTCCCCTCCTTGACATGAAGCGATCTGTGAAAAATCTCCATAGTTGCTTGTTGCAACAGGGAGATTTGGTTCATTACAGTTTATGCTGCAGAGAAGAAAGAAGACACCACCCTTCTCCTCCCAGGTACTCCTGCAAAACTGAGGGGAAAAAAGAAATAAAAGGATGAAGTTTTCACTGCTGCAAGTATCTCCAAATGTTCCCCTCTTGCCAAGCAGCCTCCCTCCTACATATATCCTGAAGCTCAACAGGAAAAGAACAGACTCACAGCAGCTTAGTCAATCAATTTTAAGGCTCTTTGAACAAACCCTAGAAAAACAGAGACATCTCATAGCCTGCGTGCAGTGAAAGAAAAAGGTCTGAAGGTGTTCCGATTTACAGCTGAAGCCTATTTTGGCAAATGTGGTTAGATACTCAAAATAGCATTCTTTCCCAGGATACTTATCAGTAGTCCTTACCGGGGAATACTTTTATCACTACTGTCATGTGGGTCTTTCCCCTAATGAAACTAACCCCCCTCTGAACACAGACTGCCTCAGGATTTGGGTAGCCAAGCCCAGGTGAGGTTACCCTGACCACGGGGGTCCACAAACACCAGTGTGGGAGGTTGGTCCTATGTCAAAGGAGCCCTACCCCAAACAATCTTTCATGGAGGGAACCACCACCCAGATCAGTTCTGGAGAAGTGCTACCTCAAACCCTACCTCCTGGATTTACCACCTCCTGGATCCAGAGTCTCCTGTTTTAGCTGTGATATGAGAAATCCCCTTCACTATCTGAGCTGAACAAGAGGCAGGAGCTATTTACTGGAAAATGAGCAGCTCCCAGGGACACCTGCAGACCCTGTCCTTCTGGAGCCTGTTGTTTCTCAAGGTACCTTTAACACCTTGCTTGCTTTTTACTCCCAAGGACTGGCAACCTCCACAAGGACCATACATGTACCTCCGCTACTGTAGGAACAATCCTGGGCTTAACCAAGGAGGGCATACCGATACCCTGATCGCAGAAGCTCTGGCACGATTTGTCACCGTGCAGCTCTAACCTCTTTTGTCAGACTAACATCTGGGGAGTATAAATACCATTCCTCAGTGCCGAGGAAGAGGATGACTACAAATCAATGTCCAAATGCTTTTGGATTTAGGGAGACCCCAACAAGGGACTCTACCACGTGAACGTTTCTCTAGAAGGGAGGAGCCTTTTCCCCTGAGCCGGTCCCAGCAAGCATGTTGGCTCACCCTTTCAGAGAGCTGTACTCCTGCTCTTACAATAACCTGACTACACCTAATGGTAGTGCTTCCTCACCACCTAGGAAGCCTAAAACCAAATGACCTCAGCTGTCAGTGTCTCGAATTCTAGCTGTGGGCTTCTCAAACAAATCTCCCTAGCCTAGCTTGCCGTATTTGTTCCTTCATGAGCTCTAACCCGGACACAAGAAGATACGCAGGCAACCTCACTGGTAGCCCAGGGAGTCCTCCCATGGGAGGACTCGGGATAGCTGAAGGATGGCTTCCACAGACACTCCTTGGGTAAAACTTTTAAGTCCAGGATTTCCTGGACAAAGAGCAGGACACATTCCCGCCCTTTTTTACATTTCTTGGGCATGAAATTCCCTACATTCAGCTGTGTACATGTAATCCATGCAACCCACAATCAAAACATTCCACAACTTGTGGTTTGTTTGGCTCTTCTTTTTTTTTTAACAGGGAAAAAACCAATAATGGCTCAGACTACTGTGTAGCATCACAGCTCTCTGTAGCAGTCCCAAGTCTAGCCTGGATGTAGACCAGCTCTTTCTCAGACACCTGCCCTTTTTCTACACAGGAACATAGTCCTTAGCTACAGAAACACTGCCCAGGCTAAGCGATGGGAAGGATGGCGGTCTGCAGTAATGCTGGGCACAAGGCTTGCCAACCAGCGTGTGAGAAAATACTTCTGACAAAGGGTATTCCAAGCAAGTTTTGGGAAGAGCTATCCTTCAGCCTTCTTACCTCCCAAAGTAAGTATCAGCGTTTCTGTAGGAAGCAGTACAAAAGCAGAAAGGTAATCTTGCTTGCAATAGCACCCATGAAATAATCACACCCACATGTAGACCACTAAAAAAACAAACAGCAGCCCACACAACTGAAGAGTTTAATTTTATGAGCCCTTAATAAGCTTTCTCAGAAGAAATAAAAAAAGAAAATGAAATTTACAATTCCATTTCTCCAAGACAGAACAAGTGGAATGGGTAAATTAACTCACAGTAGCAGGAGGACCCTCCCAACTCCCACCCAAAGTTTTCACGCTCTAGGACTTCAAAATAAAAAAGCCATTAAGGAATTTCAGACCAAATGATTTTATTTTCTACCAAATCACACCTTTTTCTTCTTTTCTTTTGCTAATTCCAAAACAAGTGAAAGAATTTTTAAAATGTAATATTATGTAAAAACACATTTGCCACAAACTACTGTAGTCAGTGGAACAAATATATATTTCAGGAGTGTGGCCAATTGTAAAAATAATCCTACAAAATAAACATTGTTCATAAAAATACAGTAAAATGCACTTTCCCCACCTCAATAAATACATTTTAATGCTGTTTCCAGTTGGCATTTTAAGCCACTAGAGAGCTCTTAATGAAGACGTCACCGAAGTATAATTTCTCCTTATGTACTTTTACAATTATTGCAATAGTATCCAGAACCGTAAGCATTTTCCTTGCAGTCTTTTGTTTCTACCTTCAGGGGAATCACAGACAGGAGAGGATTTACCTGTAAAAAATGTGCTACTCCCATATTGACTCCCATTTTATAAAGAACGTTTAATGTTTTCTTTCTTTTCACTAAGAAAAAGTCCATAGAAAAAACTCTTTCAAAGAGGTATTCTCCAGAATTATTCAGAAAATTAAAGTCTATTGTCCAGAGTCATAGTTTTGCTTTCAATCCCTGTTTTAATATATTTAAAATTAAAAATTAAAACAGTTATGTTAGATAAAAATAGAAGTTTTAGAAGACCTTTAACAACAGCTAAGATAAAGGTTTTGTTAGAAAAAAGAAAATCTTTGCCCTTTTTAAAAATCTTGCAAATTTTTAAATCCAAGTATTGACTTGAATTGTAGTTGTTTTCCATGCACACACAAAAACACACCATTATATATACATAGATCCCTGATTAAGACATTTTCCAAATGGCTTATTAAAAATGTGAAAGTCAATTTCAACCGAAGTCACATTTTGTTTGTCCAAAGCACAATCGTTTCTTCAGAAGACGAGTTATTTCTCTTCCTTTCCCATGATGCTTCCTTAGAGGTTCTGTCTGTCTACCTGTGAATGAATCAGTATTTTACACATCACCCAGCTTGCGACAATAAGTTAAATATTACTGTGCCCAATGAATGAGTGCCTTTTAAGAAACCAACCAAACAAAACCAACTCTGTTTTATGGCTGAGGCCACAGCCTAAGAGGCTGACAGGCTTATCCTTCTTTCTGTGCTGGCCTCCTTCACTTCCATTCATTAGCTGTTTTCTGGAGCATACAAAGACTGGTATATTTGGTATACTTGATGGAACAGAATAGAACCAACAACAAAAACCAATTAAAGCCCTTTATGACTTCTCAGATTCATTGCATCACCTATAGCTCTTCCATTTCAAAGTGTGTGTTAAAGCTGTTTGCCATGGATGTGTGTTCAAAGATCCTTGTCAGGCTTGGTTTCAGTAGCTCCACGGAATGACATGACAGCTGCTGCGAGGTATCACTCTTCAGGGACATGATCTGATCCACCCCGGGATCCCTTCTGTCATAGTACAGAGCCCACAGCAAAGTAATAGTAAGGATCATAGCCAGGATCTGCGTTACTCCAATAGAGATTCCTAGAAATCTCAGGACTTGCAATTGCTTCGTCCCTCTCAAAAAAGTGTACATTTTTTTACCGCATCCCTATGAAACAAAAATAGATTAAAAATAGTTAGTCAATATTATTTGGCTTGCAGTTCCCAAGTTCAGCTCATCCTACCTAGTGCTGGCTCTTCTGGCTCCCCAAAATTTCTCTCCTTCAAACAATACTTTGAAAATTATGTTTCCTATTTTTTAATTGATTCCATAATGCTGTCTTTAACTTTTCTCATACACTTAGAGTTTACAAGTTCCAAGAGTTCTGTGCTACTCTTCAATTCAGAAATCACTCAAGGTTGATCCGAGTTCCTACCAGCTATCACTGATTTTTAAATAACTCAACTGTTTTGTGAAGGTTTAGAAGCCATTAAATCCTCTTAATCCTCTTGTTTCTTTCCTGAAATTGCAGATTTTCAAGCCTGTCAATTATTTTAGACTTTTTCTACAAATAATACCACAATCCGAAGTTAAAACAACATTCTAGGAAAGATCTACAGACCTGCACAACCTGACCAGTGTTTCTTCCCACCTTTTCTTTTTTAGTCCTTTATCTGGACTCATTATATGCCAGTTTATTAGTTCAGCAGAAAGTCCCTAGGGAGTAGAAAAATCATTACATTCCAGACACCGTCTGAGTAAGAAGCACTGAACAGAATAGCCTTTAGCAGAGGGCTTCTGGCAAATTTCCAGAAATGCAGTGGGCACAAACAGATTTTACTTAGTGGTAATAATACCACATATATGTGGCATTACACCTGCTTTTTATTAATGAACTACAAGCATATCCATTTACTTTATTTACACTCTGTCTACCTCCCCTATCTGCAGACTATAGTTTAAAATTAACTGTCTTAATTTCTGATCTGAACGTAGAAACTTTTCTGTCAATTATTACGATGGCATTATACCAAGAGCCCGTTTTATCTCATATCTTGTGCTGGGCTGTTGCTACTTAAAGCACAGTAATGTCCCAAAGTCTTGGAAAAGACTGTTCGTTATTTGTTCAGAGGAAAAAAAAAAAAAATCATATCAACTGCTAGTCATTGTCACTGGGAGGCAACACCAAAGCCACTACTGTAAAAAAATGACAGGGAAATTTACCATTTCAAAAACGAACTGGTTCGGCATAGTGGTTTCCACACTTCTTCCCCTCCTGTACACCATCTCTGGCTGCAGCAGGGACCACCCCTGGCCACAGCGGGTCCCCAGGTGACTTGGGTTACGTACAGCTCTGAAGCAACGCAAGTACTAATACACATCCTGCTGACTGTAATGTCAATGCGGACTGGCAGACATCTGAGTTTGAAAGTCACCTCACTGTATTACAGCCTTGTTTTGTGTCATTAACCGCTGTGAGATAACAACCCACCCTGCATCAGGGTCTGCACAAACCCAGGCAGGCAGCTAGACCTTGCTCCAAAGAGCTGACCATCCACGTGCTGTATTAGGATGATGGTCACATACACCATCTCTCCCCACCATTCAGCAGGTGCAAATCCAAAGCGATTATTTAAAGAATAATAATTACTCATTATTTACTCAGAAAAAGTCTGATGAACAAAAGGTATGTTAAAACATCACAAGTTGATGTTTCCTAGGAACGTAAATTTAGGAAGAGTAGTTGCTCTTTGACTCCTCAGCTCTTTCCAATCCATCAGTGCATGCTCCAGAGTTTGCTTAAATGGACAAATAATTACTGTACAAGGGTTCAGGAGAGCTCCAAAGCCCTCATAAGGCTGCAATGATACACAGAAACAGCAGCTCTGGGAACTACTGGACAACAGTGTAAACATAAGCTACGGTGCTTGCTGCTCAGAAAAGGTGATGCCCAGTCTTTCAAAGGATAAAACTCTGAAGAGAAGGCCCTGAGCTACTCTAGGCCATGCTTATTCTCTATTCTCAGCTTTACAGGGCTTCCCAGCACAGAAATCAAAGGAGCACCACCACAAAGGGAAAATTCAGAGGAATAATGTGGATGGGATAACACCATGGGAACAAAAAAAGAACTGGTCCCAGCAGAAGACATCAAGAATGCGTCAAAATGGGCACTGTCTTCAAAATGTCCCTTTTCCGTTTCTATCCTTACTACATACTTCTTATAGCTTTTCTATGAAAAGAAAGCAATTGATCAAAGTGACAGAATCTAAAGATAGGACACAATAAGCACGTTTTCAATCACACTGAAACTCCCCAAAGCCAACAATTTCAAATGCTACAGTCCTGAATGTATTTGATGAAAGGTCCGACTCTTGCCTTACACACAAAATTCACACTGCAGTCAACAGATTCTCATTTAGGATCTAAATAAAATTGATGTACTATATAATAATTGTACCAGAGTAAGTTAAAGGATCTCAATGCCTTTGCTCCATTCATCATTTCAGTGTGTCGGTTTTTAAACATTAACATAGCTTAGGCAACACAAGGAGTAAATGTGGATTCTTTGAAATCTGAAAAGAAAAAAACAACCTACACTGTAGAAAAAGCAATGTAATTGAACTTGATGAGGAACAAAAACTGTCACATTGGTGTCTTTTCTTCTTCAACTAGAAGACAGTGTTGTAATTATACGACTTTCCAAATTTGTTTTTAATTACAGAGAAACTGGATGCATTTTAATACTTTTGATAACTTTAAGGGATGAAGGTACATGCTGGTCACAATTTAAAAATGCTCAACCACAGCAGTATTCAAATTCAGTTCATTTGTTGCCTGGAGAAAACATCCATTAACAGAAAGCAATAACATTAATGCCTACATCTCCTGCAGTACAGACACATAACTGAGACAAATTATGCCCAGCCTAGATAGACTGCCTCCCACCATTTAATGATGTTCTTACCGTTCTGCTCTAATACACGTTCAAAATCAGTTTCAAAATTGAGAAATATCCAGCCACCCCTGTTATTCCCACATTCACGCATTTTATTTCTGCTTATGCGACACATTCATAGTTGGTAGTCTGCAATTAAAGGGTACATAAATATACTTTCCTCGGCAAAAGTAAAAGTTTGTCACTAAACAGGGAGCTCTTGTTGACAACACAAAAATAGCATAAAACTTTGCAGCAAACATTCAGAAGAATTAGTTTCAAACTCCTACAGAGCTATGGATTAAAGGCCTGATTCATATTTATTACAAAGGCCATTTTATATTTTCAGTCCTAAAATGGAAACAAAGCACGTATTTCTGATTTACCGCAACATCATAGAATAAGGACCAGATCTTAAATAAGGCAATTCTCAGAGTATAACAGATAAAACATCAGCATATTCAACAGATCTGTTTTATGCTCAAATTTTGAGTAGACTCAAAATTATGCTAGAAAACAAAGGAAAAAATATTGAACATGCAATTTTGCTTTCTCTGAAGATACCAACTCCTACCAATCATTATATCTAGGCTACAGTTCCCGATCACAGGACAGGCAGAGCCCTCCTTGTCCTCAGACCACAACGAACTTTGAGGCCACATCATCATCCCACGCACCTCCATCACAATCACGCTCTTTCTAAGGTTAGTCTGTTCCATGAACTGCACCAAAAGTGAAGCTCATCAGAATAAAAGCAGTCCAAGAAGACTAACATATTTGAAAAATAGCTTTCAAAATCCAGAAAGGAAAACATGATTCTTGCCAAAAATACTCTCAGGCAGAACTGTAAGTAAGCGACCTTTCTTTCTACAAAAATTGTACTGTGAAGGATACCAACTTAAGACTACAGAAAGCTCCGAGATCCCATCAGAAAACTACAGCACAGCTACAACAAAACCATTTTATCAATCCAAGCCAAAACAAACTTCAGTCTTCTGAAGTACTACGATGGATTTTTCTGAAGTACCAGAATGGACTTGCCAAGTATTTACGTAAGCCAATTTTAGGCTAGCGAGGCTATCGTCAGGCTCCCTCTCAAACCACCAGACTATGCAGATTTGTTTTGAATCACTTTCTAAAAAAGCTTTTCTCCTTCAATTCTCCAAAGCAGAAGTCTGACAGATTAGCCTTGCAAGCGTAAGTTGGTTTTGCAAGATATTGATAAACATGTTAACAAGTACACTGTATGAGCCTGTGAGACAACCCACAGGCAAGCACCATGGGAAAAAAAATGTTTTGCCAAACGAATATTGTACATATCTCAAAGAGCAATGGAGTATTTTTGTGGCTGGTAAAAGAAAACAGCCTGTCCCTTTTTGGAACTGATTCTGCAGTAGACAACCAAAAATAAATTTTTGCTACGACCTGAATCCATCCAAAATGCCCTGGGGTATGGCAGGGGAAAAAACAGAAATGTGCCCTTCAGGTTTCTTTTAGAAAAAAAGCCAGGCAGCCTTTCTTTTTATCAGGTGGGTCTCAGAGTCTTTATGTTCTACATCATCTTTACTCTTGGCTGCTAATTTTCTCTAAGTAGAGTTGAAAGAACCTGAATATAAGAAGCGTGCAGAGAACCACCTTCCTGGAATATGGATGTAGGAATGAAATGTTAGCAGAAGACATGAGTTGAGAAAACCTTGCAGTTTCGACAAGAGACTCCAGTGACTGGTACTCCTTCTCAGAAATTTTTGAGCTTCCTGAGCTCAAAAATTAGTTTTTTATTGAGTGATGCTGCTTACGTAAGCTTGCCTGTTCACATAAGCAGGAAGGACACTCAGAGCAAATGAACATTCTGCAGCTTCCACACACCTACACTCTTTGGGGGCTCTCTATGGCAGAGTTGGGCTGTATGGTATCAATACTGGCAACACTATTACAAAAAACAACCATTATTGCAGAGTGAGCCACAGTTCTTTCTTCTTCAAGAATGTGTAAGACATTGGCAGGACCCAGGAGAAGCATGAATGGCTTTCCCATTCAAAGACTGACACTTCTAAAGCATAACCAGTGCTGCCTGTGCTGCAAGCCTTGCGATAAGGCAGGAGAGGCTCTACAAGTAGCTGGTGGAAAGAAAACTGACACTGTCTTTAAGGTTCCCTGGCACACACCAGCCTTCTGAGGCACCTGTCTTTTGGCAGCCCTACCTTCTTTCTTCCTAGTGGAAGCAGATGAGGCCTAGGATGGATGGATGGAAGTCCAGAATAGATTATATAATTTCTGCTCACCTAATCAATGCCATATAAATCTAGCAAATCACTCTATGTCAGTGATGCCATTTCCCAAAAACTCGATTGTTTCCTGGCAATAGCTAATACCATCTCAGCTTCTTTATATAGTGCATTTCCCCTGCCTCAGGGGTATCTCTCCATGGCTTCTGAACAAGAGCCACACCATAGATTCTTGTAAGAAAGAGTCTTGAGCAGTGGTAAGAGACTGGGACAAGATAAAATGGTTCTTTGGGTGCTCTTCCATAATGTAGAGTTGTACTGTTCGCTAGAGGAACGTTCATGCTGCAGCATCCGAAAGCACAATTCTCAGGCCCGTCCCCCTTCCTTTGCACCCTATATCACTCTTAGGGCAAGCAAATGAGGAATGTACCTCTTCTCAGATCTACTTGACTGAGACATGCTTTTTGTTGCTACCGGACTACCTGGACTGTTGGCCATTCTGATATTACTGAACGCACAATTAATGGTCTTCAGAGGTCTGTTAGCATTAAATAAACAAATAAATAATAAGGTAGGTAGCAAAGCGGTCTCCAGACAAGGGTGACTTTTTACAACATTTTTGTGAGAACAGTTTAAAGAGTGTTAGTACAGAACATGTTAACTTGTTTTTAAGATTTTTTACCCTAAGACGACTGATGACTTGCTACCATGATCTCCCCCCTTACTCACTTTGAGTTCAAACAGATCTTCTCCTGGTTTTAAGGCTTTTTAAATTTATTTAAAAACAATAATCATTCTGTAATGTAGCAGAGTTAGAGAGAAAGAGCATTTTCACACAACGTTTCTATGCATGCTCATTGCAGAGCAACTGCATTACCCGCCTCCTTGCATGATCCCTGTTAACAAGAGCTTTCATCTTCCAAAGGATTTCTCAAAAGCATCCTTCACTGTACATACCACTAGAGTCCTCATTATCATGGGGTAAGTAGAACTTCTCTTAGTTTGGCAAGCTGGAGACTGGACACTAGAACAAAACTATTTTTTTATTTTTTGATTGGAGCAAAATTCAACTCCAACCTAACCAATATAAAGCAAATACCTCAATGTTTAAGCGTATCTCAGATATTAACTGCATTGCTGATAACTTATCTCACTTCCAGGTAAGGGTGAGTGGGTGGGTTTGTTTTTTCTTTCCTTCTCCCCACCTTCCCTGCTTCAGCATTAATAAATAATAAACATAAACACACACAATAAACACTTTTCATAAACACAATGACTCTACAAACCTTTCTGCTGCACTGCAAGTAATGAGTTTGGAAAATAACTTGATCAGGAAGAATACACAAAGCCTTCCGAAATACCCACACTCTTCTCCTTACCTCCTGATAAAGGTCACTGAGATCCTCATGATGTGCCTGCTTAGAGCATCCCGGGAACTCTCTGACACAGCAGGAGTCAGGTGGCCAGTCCATCTCTGTCATTTCCAGCCAGTCTGTGAAGTACACCACCCCACAACATTTAAACTGCAAAGGAAGGATTAGCCAAGATCAGCAATAATGATGCTACTTCTTCGAAAAAGTAGGTCATCAAAAAAGCTAAATAAATTCCAATTAACAACTTTCAAAATATTTACGTAGGACTAAAAACATCTACAAGAGCTTCCACCTATCTTCTTTTGCTGTACTTCAACATAAAAGCAATGCGAAAAATGTAACATAGTGACCAATGAACACCTCAGAAACAGCCAACGATACTGCTCTGTCCTTTAAATCTCAACTGCTTCCTCAAAGGATGCTTCACAGAAATTCTTCTACCCTGTAATTCTGCTATCCTTACTACAAGGAACTAACACATGACTGATGAACAAATGTACCTGTGGCTGAAGGAAGTAGTAGGAAAAGATGATTAAGGTCTTACTAGTGAGGGTTATTTCTGCAAGTCTACAACTATGACATATCTGTTGAAAACCAGATGAGAAAAAGCATAGATTTATCTCAACACAGAAAAAAGAAAAAAGATGGAGGAAGTGAGCAAAAAGGTATAGAAATCACAAATGCTGAAAGGAAAAAGGAAAATGGAAGGAAGGGGTATCACACTAAAACACTGCAACAGAATCAACCATAAAAGTAGGAAGTCTGGCTGCAAAGCAGATGAGCCATAATCGCCTATAAAAACCACCAGGACTAACAACCTGTCTTCTCCTCTGCAAAGCACACAGAGAGATTTAAAGCCAAACCACCAGCCTACCACATTCCTAGCTGCTTTCTTATAAAAAAAATGACTGAAGCAGCTACATTATTACATGTCTGGAGCACAAGTCTTATGAGGAGCGGCTGAGGGAACTGGGGTTGTTTAGTCTGGAGAAGAGGAGGCTGAGGGGAGACCTTATCGCTCTATACAACTACCTGAAAGGGGGTTGTGGCGAAGAGGGTGTTGGCCTCTTCTCCCAAGTAACTAGTGATAGGACAAGAGGAAATGGCTTCAAGTTGCGCCAGGGGAGGTTTAGATTGGGTATTAGGAAAAATTTCTTCACTGAGAGGGTGGTCAGGCATTGGAACAGGCTGCCCAGGGAGGTGGTGGAGTCACCATCTCTGGAAGTGTTCAAGAAACTTGTGGATGTGGCGCTTCAGGACATGGTCTAGGGGACATGGTGGCGCTGGATTAATGGTTGGACTTGATGATCTTGAAGGTCCTTTCCAACCTAGTGTTTCTGTGATTCTGTGATTAGATTTTCTCTGGCATCAGATGGGGACTTGATACGACTGGAAAAAAAATCCTTGATGCAGGAACAAGATGCTGCCTTCTTCTGTCTGGATGTTCTCCAGTACCAGCCTGACTGTTTGTAATTCATCACCTGGTTCCTTTGACCCATGGCCTTGGGAACATTTGCCCCCTCCTTACCCGCTTCAGAGCCAGAGTCCTGTATACCACACCACTCCTCGGCCACAATCAAGCCGATCAGTGCCCAAACACCATGTTAGCACACACTGTGCCTTGACTTCACCAGTCCTCTTACAAATCTCACTTCTTCCTTCTTCACCACAGCTTTAATGTCCCTGTTTTTATCAGTTCATTATCAGCCAAAATCCTCCCAACAAGTGACTGTCTAAGGAAAGCTCAAGCTTTGGCTCCTCACTGTAACTGCAAAGACAACCTCATTAAACATCCTCTTCTTACTCTCAAATCTTTTCTTCCCCCTGCCCAGTTCTTCTTTCCTGACTTCAGTTGACACTTTCCCATCTTCCTTAACAGAGTCACAACTCTGGTATTAGACTAGCAAGGGGGTTGGAGGAAAAATACATTTAACATCTGAGAGAGATGGGAAAAGATATAGAAAAAAGAGCACAAAGCTGAACCTTTGGGAACAAAATTCAAATTACAATTTTTTTCTTTAGGAAAAAAATTGCAATGCTGACTGAGGGCCCTGAGCATAGTGGTCATTCAGGCATAAAGCACATATGAGGCTCGCACATCCATCGTCTGAGTTATGAATAAACAGAATAAAAATGAAAGCCCACCAATTAACTTGGAGCTGTAGAAGAGCCTTCTCAGTTCACTTCAAACTTTCCCCAAATCATTCCTCTGGTCAGAGATGGAATATAGGAAAGCTAACTTCTGAAAGGAACTTTTTCTCTTCTGGAAGAGTTAAGGCATGCTTGAACTTTTATTACTAATATTCATTTTAAAACCAGCCATTATGATGACACCACAACAACCAGGAGTATAAGAGACAGCTTTTAATTTATTCAGCCTATATATTTAAACCAAGATACAGTATCAGCTCCATTCAGGGAAATCAAGACCGTCTGATTATGTTATTTCAGGTACAGAACAGACACAAACACTCTACAGGCGTATGAAGGATTACTCTGTTTCACAGAACACTTGCATAGCCAGAGCAGGGAACTGGGGAGGGTGGGGGGTGTTTAACCTCATGTAGTCCTCGTTCTTTCTTTCAGGTTTTAGAATAAATACAGACTAACCAAGTGCTGCCAGGAAATGTTTAAATAAACAGGAAAGCTGTGCAACAATGATAGATTTCAACATTTCAACAAGGGCAGCACAATGACAGGCATTTAAAGAGTTCTCTTCCTGCACGTGAGTTATATTTGGAGTTAATGGGTTTTACCTTGGGCAATTTCATGATTTTGTAACATAATACTTCATTCTTTAAAAACAGTTCTGAATTTTAGTAGATTAGAAGGCAAAGCTGAATACACAAGGCAGATTTTTGGTTTGTTTCCCACCCCCCTAGTCAAAGGAAATAAAAACTCTGAGCACTTTCTCTAACCTCAGCCAAAGAGACAGTGTTGGCATCTTTTTTGGAAACTTCCTTTCCCACTCATTTCCAGCTAAGCACATATCTTAACTATGACAGCTCCATGAAAGGAAACTAACAGAGCCTACAGAGCACAGTTTAATATTGAAATAGCATACAGAAATATTCATTTTACTTTACCTGCAGATTTTTAATAGTATACACCTCATATTCTTAAATGTTATAATAATCCTAAAAGGTATTGGTGTCCTAACCTTACTGGCAAAGGAGAAGACAGTGTTAGCAATGTAACTGAATTTAATAACATTCTTTTTTTTGGTGTTTTAGTGTCTTTAGGGCCTACGAAAGCTCAAAAGTTGGATATCAAGTAATGTTAAAAGACATAATCACTACATGAGGTTTTCACAAGAAATGAACTTGCATTTATCTACCTATTCACTTAAAACCAAACCTGTTTCTTTAGCAGATAAATAACATTTACCAAGCGCATATGACTTCAGCTTATGATTAACTGTCATCTCACCTCCCTCTGGAAGAAATTCCAAGCATGGGTCAGCCACTGGTACCTAGGTAGACCATAATTGGTCATCCTAGCTTTCAGCGTGATCATATCGGACCACTGCACTGGAACCTGGAGCAAGGAAAGAAAAGTGATTCATGCAACAGATCAGTTGGCTTGTGGCTCAAAACCCAGAACGTCCATCTATTCTGAGATCTTTCCAGTGCGATGACCAAAATAACTTCGTACTCAAATAAAACAGGAAAACAAGTGCTTCCATTTTTATGATATTGACACTTTATGAGCCTTTATTAAAATATCAGGTAAGGTTATTTGTATCTTTTGCTTCCAAATTAATATACTGGAAAAGGAGCTGCATTTTGGAGAGATTCAGAGATAGCTGGGTACAATTTGACTATATCATTACTACATTTTTTTACCTGGCATAAAACTTCAACTGAGCCCCAAGTCATCCAAGTCATCAGGGATGGCAATTGTCTGCCCCAATTTAGGTATTCCCCCCAGTGTCTTCTTAGTCAATAGAAAGAAACAGACAGTCATATGGGGCAATTCATCTCAAGATAAATATTTTAAACACAGCAGATTAATCATTCCCTTGAAGTCTCAAGTCTACTTCACTGTCTAAGGTGACAAACTTAGATTTAAACATCTAACTTCTAAATATATAAAATTAATTAAGATGAATTCTACTCTGAGAGTCTTCTCCGTGGCTTTCTGGCTTTGCCTGGAGTCCCACATGCAGGTATCCTGAATGCAGTCGATTTCAGTATCTTGCTGAGGAACGGTAACAAGGAAATTCAGACATGAGGCCCTATGAGCTTTTTTTTTTTTCCCCCCACACACACTCGTGGCCTTGTAAATCTCTTCTTCTGAAAGAAGGATTCTCAAATTATTCTCCTTTCAAATTTGACTACTCAGAAGTGAGGAGCTGGTGCTCTCCATTGTCAGATTATGACCCTCAGTCAGTAATTTGTTAGAAACAACAGAAGCAAGTGCTATGGTAGCTGGCATATGACGCAGTTAAAGAGTCCAGATAAGATATTAACTTCTGCTCAGCAGCACAAATTTCAGTGTGCAAAACTAAAACAAGGAGCTGAAGACTTTGCAGTTGCCCTTCTAGGCATACATACTGTTCATGCTGAGTTTTTCCTTGTTCCCATTAGCCTTAATAGTCATGGTGAAAGAAATCACAGATACCAGCTTTCATTTGGAGGGCTGGGAGCCCAGCTCCTCTAGCGGCTGTGACTTAGCCATCCAGTTTAATTTGGAGTGAACAGTAAGGGCATTCTGAAAACAGCAATAAATGTAACCTAAGAAAAAAAAAAATTATCACAATACCTCCCCAAGGAGCCTGGTCTTTGTTGTGATAGATGCTCTACAAAAATACAGGAACTATCACTGCCTGCCTGCCTGTGTAATCCAAATAAGACCATTTGATAATATTTCATTACTGCTGCTAGGTTATACTCCATTTCTGACACCCTCATAAAGCTTCATATATCATTAATATAAGCATATTAATAATATTGCAGAAATTTAACACACCTTTCACTTAGCAGAATTTTTATTTCTTAAGCTATAAAGCATTGAACTCGCAATTGTCCACGTAAAAAATATGTTAGCAGTAGAGTACTAAAAATACTTTAAAACAGTGTCACAGAATATTTCTACCACACATTTACACTGGTCACTATAATAAAATTATTTGGTTTTGTAATTGATGCATTTCTCTTTCCACTATATTGGAAGTTAGCACTCTGCTTTCTTTGGATAATATTGGATATCGCTGCAATTAAGGTCATATTTGCTAGACTATTTTTTTATTTTCTTGTTTGAGTTGAATACAGTCCAAGGTTACGCATGTAACACAAGTCGTCCAACTTCTTTATGAAAACAATGGAAAGCGGGGGGGGAGCAGGAATCAAGAAGTGAGAGGAGGAAATTAAAAGCAAATCAAAACAAATTATACTCCACTGTAGGAAGGCAATTTGAATTCTGGAGATAAGGAGGGATATCGGAATCTGTGTCTTTGCTCCAAGAATGCCAACATGTCAAGCTAAAAACATCGATGGTTCTACTAAATAGCTTCCCCTCAGCTCGTGCAGTAGTGAACAACAATACATGATTTTGAGATGCATTTGTTTGACTACACACCAACACTTTCGCATAGTGTGTAGACAAAAACTAGAGATGCTGGCTTGATTTTAGCATAAGTTCTGTAAAGCTTGGTTTGCTGTTGAGATCTACTTATTCACTATTGTTTTTCTAATGAGTATCAAGGTTTGACCAATGCCCAAGTGAGCCGAGGACACACACTGCCTTTTCAATCTTGTGGGTGGAATGAGTTAGTCATGAGGCACACTTCATGCTGAGAGCTATCATGAGCTGGAAGGAAATTTGTTTATATAAGGACTCTTACAGCAACTTGTCCACATGCCAAGGAGAGCCCATACTGGATTAGCAGAGGCAGATATGCTTTGGTGACATTTCTGACAACATCACCCACCCACCTACACTAATGCCAACTGATTCCCTGAAACCCACGAGGGGCTCTTGTGATTTCATGCTATGCTAAAACCAACGTGACATCAAGTCCACCTCCACGGGTGTAAGAGGGAGTCTTCTTTATCGAGTAGGAGAAAGCATGCTCTAGGGAAGTGACCTGCACAGGTATGAAACAACCACTGAAAAACAACTGTGCTGTTCCAGACTGCCACATTCCCTATGGATCTCAGTAGCAGGAAACCTGAGTCTGGCCCACCTCATCACATGCACAGCAGTAGTGTTAGGACAAAGAGAGTAAGAAGAGAAAATCAGATGGAAAAAGAAAACAAAAAAAAAGCACGGGATTTCAAGGTTGAGGAATAAGAAGTATAAGAGAGAGAGAATAAGAGAGATAAAAACGAAAAACAGTTGCTGATTTTTTTTTTTTTCCTGCTCCCTCTGTTTGCATGTTCATGTTCATGCTCTTGAACTGGCAGAGAGAGGAAGAACCAGAGAAGCGTGGAGTGTCTGGGTTCACTGTAACCCACTGCAGAAGGCGCAGACATGGAGGTCAGCACTACTTCTTTTGGCAAAGGGGCACAGGGACAGCTGTGTTTTTTTCTGGAGGGATGCAGTGTCACCAGTGCCTTAACACATGGTAGGGCTATACTAGCTTTTATAAAACTGTCCCTGGTTTGGGTTTCAGTAGCACAGATGGTAACTGGAAGCTTGGGGGTCACACTAAAGCACATCCCTAACCTCAGGTTTTCCAACCGAATAGTGAAGGCTAGCAAAGTCATATACTGGTGTGCTGAAGGCTATGTTGTTTCAGGCAGCTTCCACTGACAAGGTTTCTGTGGAAAGATGGATGTTAGTTGAAACAGTTGTCCTTGGCAAAAACCCCACAGAGGGCAGCTGTGCCCACATGATGAAGCATGCCTCTCGTCTGCATTCCCAATTTTAAAAGGCATCAGTGTAAGCTGACATTTAAAGTAAAGGGATAGGCTTAATCACAACACTGCTCTGGCATCTGTACAGCAAAGGAATGAATGCTGATGCAAAGTGCTGCCACGTAACTTCAAACTTCAAATTTGCCAGAAATTCCTTTGGTTGCAGTACCATGTAAATACCAAGAAGGCTCCCTCCCATCTTACTGCAATGGAATTGCTACACACTGTTGGAAAGACCAGTACATTGGGCACATCTTGGCACCTCAAATAAAATACTTGTTTCTCTACTCAGAATGTACCAGACTGAGTACAAGATGTAAGGATATAGCATCCAGCAGAGTAACATTTCAGTTTAATTTCTGCTCAATACCTACCCATTTTCTTGTGTGATGGTTACAAATCTTCAGTTTGAAAATTAAAGATTGGTACAGCTATAAAAACTAGACAGAGATAAAACCTCTTCAAAAGTTTACAGAAGAGTGTTTTATAGCTAAGACATCTTCTGCTTAAAACTGGCATTTATAGCTTGTGGAGGCAGCACAAAGATTTCAGCAGACAGCAAGTCTTCTATTGAAAGAACATACTGTCTGTTTACAACGCAGTACACTCAGATGTAGCTCTTTAAAACAGGAAGACCTTTAGGGGCAAAATCCCTTCAAATTTTCTCTCTCAAAATACTCATCTTAAGCCTGAAGTTCGTATCTTATCCTCAAAACTTCCACTGACTTCAATAAGAACCTGTCTAAGCAAGACTTAACTAAAAATAAAGTCTTTAAATCAGGGGCTGCAGAATTTGGCACTCAAATAAATACAGAAGGGGTGGGGAGAAACCCAGAGAGGACCTTCCAGACAAGCTTTCCCAGAAGAATTCTCTGTTTAAAAAAAAGTCAGTCACATGAAATTAGACTGTCAGAATAATGAACAAAGATAAACACTACAGCAATTAGAAAACAGCAAGCTAATGGAAATCTTTGTTTTCTTCTGTTGAAAAAATGCAGCCTCCTTTTCTGACTCACCGTTATTTCCTGCTCATAGGTCCAAACACCACAGGCCAGTTCAACACAGAATATTACAAGCAAGCTTCCAAAGTACTGCAGAAAACAGAATGGCCTTAGTTATTTTTGATATTCAGGTTAACTTTGAAAAGACGACTTAAAAATATTAAAGGACATTTCAAGACTTCATTAAGTTTTCACATGACTGAAGACATGGAATCTGAAATACATTTTTGTAACAAAGATATGAAAGATTCATGCAGCAAACTTTCTAAAATTTTAAGTTACGTGACATTTCTTACTGATTTAACATGAAGCATTTGAATATTACCATCAGAAAACAAATTAATTTCCTTGTTGCCCAAGAGTACAAGGCTACCATGACATATTATGCTAAAACTCTCACAAAAAGGACAATCTTTTTTCCCTCATATATGTGAAAAAAGAAGTATCATTTTGTTCAGCTTTATCCATTTAAGCAACATCTACAGATTATTCTAATAGCCAAAAAGGGTAAGGAAAAAAAAAAAAGGAAGGAGAAAATAGAGATAATTGACAAGATGAAAACAAACAAGGCTCTTGAAAGCTGCATTCTTACCAAAGTGATTTAGGTATTTGAGGTCAGGCACAAATGTACAAATACTTATTGAGATGGACTGAAAAATTTTTGTCTATTACAAGATGTAACCCTTGAACTATTTAAAAATAGAAAATATGTGTATAAATGAAGAAGCTGTACAGGTCTTGGTAATCACAGTTAAAAAAACCTGGTTGCTACAGGACTACCTTCTGTGCAGCATCAATAAACCCTTGCTGAAATGCAGGGTAAAGCAGCATGGAAATGAAGACTTCTTTGACTCGTGTCCTCTATTAAAAGTAACCCATTTATCTTTCATTTGAAGCAAAAGCATAGTTCCATTCATTCTCAACTCCAAACTTTCTTCCGTGTCAATGGACTGAGCTCCCCCTTATTCTCAGTACACAAGACTTAAAATTACAGTCTTCATGGATTTCGTTTTACTTGGAAATCAAAAAAACACTATCACAATATAAAATAGAATAAATATATAATTCCATTAGTATGATACATGCCAAAAGGCTTCTAATTTAGTAATTGAATTCTGGAATATATTTAGGACAGGTATTAAAAAAAACAAAACAAAACAACCCAAAATATATACTAAAGGTAGCTGATTTGTTTTTTTTTTCTATTAAAAGGTCAATAAGTGGTATTATTTAAAATAGAGAGCATAAATCCACAAGCGTTAGGATTTAACAGTCATCTACATGGTAACTTTTTCATTCACCCAGTCTGGAACTGAGTAATTCACAGATACCTCAGCAGCTACTGAACAGTGTCTTGCCTTAACTTCTACTTGCTGATCAAATCCCCAAGTTAGGTTTGTAGATGCAAACAGCTAAATTAAAAACATGCATGTAAAATACTCATGTGAATTTTCAAGAGAAACCTGTGCTCATACTCTCCCCCTGCTAAAGTCTGTTTGATAAAGATGGTGTTGAAAAAAGAGGTCCCATTTTACTGGTCTCCACCACATTACATTGCATCTTCATAGTCATTATAGCTGAACATCACAAACCAACATTGTAAGCACATGCAGAGCTCCAGTATAGGCCTTCAATAACCAATAAATTCATGCCCCAAAGGTCCCACAGAGGAAAAAAATTGAGTCGTACCTTGTCAGAACAGTGATGCTTTCTCTAAAAAATAAATTCATGAGCTTCTAGACAATGTATCCACTACCACTGTAGTGCCTGCAACTTATGCAAAGGGTTCTTTAAAAAAACATGGAAATCTACTTTGCAAAGTATTCACTTTGAAAGGAGGAAAGAATGCCACAAGCTTTAGCTCTTAATTCCTGTGAAAACAATGTTTTAGGACATTATGGCTAACATTGACATTTTCGAGAGGGAGAACAACTAAACGTGTTGGTGAAAAGTGAATTTGAGTTCTCAGCTGTCTAAGAAAATTTCAGTGGTTTTATACTCTAATTGAGTAACAAGCCTGAGACTGCCTGCTATCCCCAAATCTTACATAAAACTCACTGATCATGGTGAAAGCGATACATCTGGGGGTGTACGTATGGCATTCTCTGGAAAACTCTTAACATGCAGTTCCTTGTAACATTTCATTCATTCACCAACCTTAACATTTGAAACTTCCTCATTTTTGCCAGCATATAGTTAAGAAAGTTTGTGGTAGCAGTTGGAGACACCAAGATTTACCCCAGTTACTGAACGTAGCCGGGGATAGAAAACTATTTAGCCAGATTCACTCATAAACCGCTTCTCGGTTCGCCAGGAATTGAGAACCCCTGACTAGCTACCTCTGGACACACCAGAGCACTGCAGAATGAAGCCGCCTGTCCTGAGAAAGCACATCTTCTGTGCATAAGGCAAAAGAAAAGACACAAAGAGTTTACACACATGAAAGCACACGCTAGGAACTGAGCAACTGCAAGCACACCAAACTCGCACACAGGAGCTTCAGTTTCACTCTGCTATTGAAGGGGAATATTATACCTCTCTAAATGTAATGGTTTGCAAAACAAATAATTCTTACGTAAGTTGTGTGGGAAAAAACCTCTAACCATTATTTAAATTTATTACCCCTAATTTCCATCTTCCAAATACAGAAATTATTACTGGCTTCAATGTTTATTCCTCGTCCCCAATTAAATTCCCACAGGAGTCTGAATGCTAAATGCATCTTCCTGCATTTACACACTTAGGCTTTTTTTGCCAGAAACAGGGACCTGGCTAATATTTCTTCCTATGGGCTGAGTGGCTACATTTTGTAAAGCAGACTAACTCACCGAGGAGCACTATTGTGCGTTATGCTCAAAACTGCGCCAGCAGGTCACTGATGTTACCTTCTACAGCACACCTCCCTCAGAGCACTCAGATTTTGAGCGCTGAGAACATTGCCCAGGTATCTTCTACTGTTTTTTTGTTTCTCCTTTTTTTTTTTTCCCCCGGCAGGGACCCAGTGGGAGAGAGGAAGGCACAGAAGGGAGCAAAGAGTTTTGCAAAGATATTTACAGGTTATCATTAAAAAAAAAAAAAAAAAATCTACAAGCAATTAATGGAAAGCCATGATCGCTTCAAGACCTAGAGACCTTTTACATGGAAAATCCTACGACTTTTAACATTTCTCTTTTGTAGGCAATTGCTAATCACTATCATTATCTCCCTCATCAGAATATGCAAAGCCATTAGAAAATTGAAGTGGTGCCTTCATCCTGTTACAAACCCGGCGGAAGCAGTTTCACTGAAGGATTTCCTCCAACGAGGTTGTGAAAAAACTAAAATGTTGCCTCCCTGAGAGAAGCTGAATGACTAACAGGCTGGTAAGAAAACTCTTTCAAGAGTAACAAATCAATGTAAAAATATTTGCCAATAAAAAACCACAAAACAAAAAACGCCAGCAGATATTTACTGCTCCTCACTCAGCCACAGACATGCATATTGCCAACATCCTAAACTTCAGCACCCCTGCAGTGTCAAATGGATGTTGTCAATTAACAGGAGCTGGTTCTCCTGCAACCTCCTCATTAAGCTTGCTCACCACCGCCGGCCACAGGGGAGGAAGGAATGTAGCAGCTCAGTAAAGCAGTAGCTTTCCAACAGCAGTATCTCCTCTAATGCCAGGAACTTTGCACAAGCACCTGGATTCTTTTCTCTGCAGCAGTGGATGGGTATGTGTGTGTGGCTCCGTCCTCAGAGCACAGAACTGGAGCGCTGACAGCCTGTGGAGACTTACACAACTGTACTTTTCCAGCACATCGATCCTGAAACAGAGGTGAAGGAACTGGGGACTGGAGTTCAGGGGAATCCTGTTCCTCTTCCTTTCTCATGCGAGAGTAAACAGGAAAGAAGTGGGAACAGAAACAAAGTCATTACTGTGAAAGACACTTTCAGAGAGATATAAAGGCAGAGGTATGAAGGGCCAAGGAAAGGTATTAAAGATATTCTCTATATAATCACCAGACCCTGTTCTCCTGGAATACTGTGTGTGTGGTACAGGTGTGTAAGTGACCACAGCCAACAGCCTCATCCTTGCCCTGAAACCTCCGATGCAGAAACCACACCTGTCAGCAGCACGGAAGCCCACCACAGTCTGTACCACCTTCTAGCGCAGAGACACTCCCAGATCATACTCAGCGACCACAACCTGTAACAGCCTCCAGAGAGGTCTTGCTCTTCTGCAAGTCAGACAACCGTAAGTCCATTTCCACAGGGAATTCATATATAAGACAAAAAGGACAGTGGGATAGTGGCACATATTGAATGGAAATCCAATTATACGAAATTCAATCACAGAAGGGAGGTAACCATCAAGTAAATAATCAAAGACAGAAAAAAAAGAAACCAAAAATGGGTACTAGCATTGAAGTAGTAGTTTCTTTGCCAATTCAGATGGCTATTCAGATAGCTATCTGCATAAAGGCTATCGGAACCTGATAAACCACTAGCAAGGTACATGGTATTTTCAAACATGCATTAAAAAAAATCAAAATAATTCAAAATTATATTTAGAAAGATCTATATGGGCTTGTCTAAATAGGATCAAAAGTTTTAGTCTGAATAAAATTCCTGCACACCACAATGGCATCCCGTAAGAGGATACAAGATCCGTATGTGCCACTGCCCATATGTGGAGCATATATGCTCTGGCATATGCCCAAAATACCTTCCCATCTCTCCATCTAAGGCTAAAAACTGAACTACAAAATTCATTTAACCTAATTAAACTATGACAGGTTTTTTGCTATTCTATTTGTTCTACCCAACTAAGCAAATCACCATTACGACCACAACCATACACATTACAAGAACACATTTCTTTCTTGATCATCTCAACCATGTAGACACAAACACAAATAAAAATAGCAAATATATTGCAAATGCATGCACAAAATCACTATTACTGAATCGAAGATATTTTGCATTTGCTTAAAAGGCGTTTGTTCCAACAACTCCCACTCTGTTCAGAGAGTAGTTGTGAACAGCACATACATGAAGTGACTCTCAGCATAAAATCTCTCCCTCATGGCTTTCCAGCCTGCAAAGTGCAG